GCAAGTAAAATAAATGTAGGAGGGGTAGGTAGAAGGGAAGAGGTTAAGTAATATGGTACGTAGATGGATATGGTTGACAGGTAGGTATATTTAGGTAAGTGATTGGATGATGGATGGATGAATGAATGAAAAAGAGAAGTTGTGAGATTCGTACTGTATACATGGGAATTTACTCTTGCATTACCTAGCCTACTTGCCTGCCGATGTCTAACTGCCTGACGGACTGATTGGTGTTGGTACTTGGGAAGACTGTAGATAGGTATTTACTCTGTACTTGCAGAGAACATCACATCACATCACATCACCAACTAGACACGAAGAATAATATGTATGAGTGGTAATTGCTTTCATTTCATCCTAGCAAACCAAGTCAAGTCCAGCAAAGTATAAATCAATAGCTTCGCGAGATCTACCTATCCCATTCCACACCACCTCTACCAATACCAATCCGATCCCTCCCTCAATCGGACGATGCATCAAATGAACAAAAATCCCCGGATTAACAAGAAAGCAACCAGAGCTAAGCTATTCTACCCCGTCGAGATGCCAAATGAACAATTTGTGATTCCTCCTCATAAACCCTATCCTTTCCCGCCCATTACATTTCAAAGTTCTTCAATTCATATCATGACTCATGTGATGTGCGAAAAGAAAGTGAAAAATGAATCAAGAGCATGTAAAGTTAACGCCGTGCTAATATATATATCACAATGATGAATGAATCGAGTATGTTTTTTTTTCTGTTCCCTTCTTGAAACATATTTTTTCATCAGTGGCTTTTGTAGTCACCAAATTGGTCATCGGAAGACCAGTCCATGCTACCCATGTTATGGTTCTGGTGGACGTGGTGCTGAGTAGCAGCTGCTGTGCTCGCTGCATAGAAGTCTAGCAAATCTTGTGCGGAAACGCCGGGAAATCCATTCATGTGTGGGATTTCGCCAAACAGAGCACTAGGCGCATTGCTGGAGACCGTGCCTCCAGTGGACGAGGGGAAGAGTTGGAAATCGGCCGAGTTGCCAAGTTGCGGGTTGCAATTGGCGGGGACAAAGTCTTCGAAGCCTTCGTCTACATCACGCATCGAGGTTGGAGTGTAGAGCATGGTGTTCCCGTGACCGACGGGGGAGATATGTGGGATTGGGTCTGCGGCGAAAGGGACACCTGATGTCTCAAAGCCGTTAATTGCCCGTTGGTAGAAATCGTGGGATGGGGTGGGAATCTGAACGTTGGCGCTGTAAAGATCTTCATTCTCAAACAGGCTGAAGTCAACGTTGTTGTTGTTAAAGTCTTGGAAGTTATCCTGGAAATGGTCTTGGCCAGAGAGAGTGTTGGCAATGTATGGGGATTGGCCATCGGAAGAGACTGAGCCAGATTGGTGCATGTCAGAGATGGGGGAGTAGTCGAGCTGCAATTGCTGATTTGGTGCAAATATGTCCATATCCGAGGAGTTGTAGTCTGGGAAGTTCAGGTGGTTTTGATTATCATTCCAGGCTGACATTTCATACCCGGTGTTCATGTCAAAATCATCCCCATCAGGAGTAGAAACATTGTTTCCATCACTGCTTGGGGTACGGATGTTGGTAGTCTGGGGAGTTGGCAGGCCATGGTTGCTGGTTGGGGCACCATGCTCTGAGCGGTTCTTTCCATTGTTTTTGGATCGAACGTATTCCCAGCCGTGAGCTTTCTCCATATGCTGCTTGCAATTGGATTCACGCTTCGATCTATATGGGCAGGGTTTAAAATGGCACTCGTATAAAGGAGGAGCCTGAGAATGTTTGTCATTGTGATGGCGGTCCATTTCCTTCTCCGTGGGCCAGCCATATTCGTGGTATTTGCACGATTCAACAGGGCACTTCCAGGGACGAGAGTGAGTCTTCTCGTGCTTGGTGAGGTCACATGGGCGCTTGAATTCTTTGTCACATCCAGCTTCACGGCAACGTTTTGGTGCGAGCTCAGCTGCTGAAGCTGAGCGCTTCCGGCGAGCCATTGACCGCATAATTGCTTCGTCATCCTCGGCCTCTTGGCTTAAGGACCGCTTGAATCGCATGGCTTCTTTACTGTCTTCGTCTTCAAGTTCGATGGGAAGGCCGGTGGCAACTGATATGGCCTTGCCGTTCTTCTTTACTCGAACTAGTTCAGCGGGACGGCCGTTTTTGGTGAGTCCACCATGAAGTCTGACTTCATCGGTTCTATGAATAGAGGTTAGTAAGGGCTGTCCAGAAAAGGGATGAAGTGACAGGTGAACATACGGTTCAGGATCCATCTCGTCCAATTTCTCTCCTTTGGCTTCCCTCTCTTTTGCAGCTTGAACTTGTTGTGCGTACTGCTTAATCTGGTCGATGAGATCGACAAAGTATCCGTTAGTATAAGGTCGGTCGTGAGGTCTGGTTTGTTCGCGTTCGCTCAAAAATTCCACGGTCGCTTGGATACACCGGATTGACGTGAGGCAGAAATCAAGGTACAAGGCGGCGGTCTTGGTCCTCTCCTTCAAACGCGAAAACCAGTGAGCAACTCCCCCAACAACATCAGTTTGGATATCACTTACAGGTGCCATAAAAATCAAAGTCTTCTCAAGATCCCGAAGGCATACTATCTCCTTGGTATGAATTCTTCTGGGGCAGTCCAGTACGATTGGGTAAAATTCTTTCAAGGACGGCTTTGCGAGCAGTGGCTTCAAGATATGCTCGTGGATGCGGTTGGTGGCCCGCGCACTGAGTCTGGGAAGACTCTCGATTGTTGAAGACTGGGCGGCGGCAGACCTAGTTATAGCTGATGCTGCAACGATAGACTTGGAGCAATGGTCATCAGTGACACTAGTGGAGCACTTGTCTGCAACCTTCTTGCCCGATCTAGAGTCAATAGAGGATCCCAGAGCACTGTCTGAGTATCTGGCAGGCCGGCGGTTGTGCCGTGGGCGGAGGGAGCGTCGTCCAATTGATGGAGACTCCTTGGACATTGGTCCATCCATGATGGAACCGTATGATTTGGTCGACGGTGAGCCGACGGTGTGATCTAGAAATCCTTGGGGGACTGGGTTTGCCTCGTCAGGAAAGGACTGTCGGTCAGAAGGAGAACGTTCTTCAACGGCAGCGAGGCCTCGATCAATGTCTCCAAGAGTTAAGGCAACACGACGTTTGTGTGCATCGACAACATCTTCGAGTGTGGTTTGAGAACGGCGAGGGAGGGCAGGGACTTTGAACTGTTCAGGTAGCTCTTCGTCTGGAGTAGTGGGTGAATGGAAGGTGGCTCCTTTGCGTAGGGACATGTTGGTCTTAACGGTGGGACGGCCTGACGCACTGGACGAGGGAGTCAGAGCAGGCGATGTAGTCTTTGTAGTTCGGCGGGGGTGGTTGAAGGACATGGTGGGTGGTGGGTGGCCAGGTGTGGTGTGGGTTCCGAGTATGTTGGTAAATGCTTGACTACTAGGATTCATTGATTAGCCCTACTGTAAGAGATCCTGTTTTCATGCAAGTGCCAAGTGAGTCACAGATCGATTCGAGTAGTCAGGAATGAAGTCGGGAAGAGATCGAGGTGTCCGCATGGAGAATAGTTCACCGAGGATGAAGCAATTCGACCACTTTTTATATATAGGGCTGATTCGTCAATCCGACGCTCGCCGATTGACGCTTTGGGTGAAACAGAGATCTGGGGTCGGAGAGACAAAAGTAGACATTGGATGCATACAATACTGGGGGATATGCGAACAGTTCTGCCGTTGATGGTGAGCTCTGAGCAATCGTCCTCGGACGAGAAGATGAGTGTTTGCCGTCGGGTTCGTCTCATTCAATGGACGACGATGATGGAAGACAAGAAGATACTGATGAGGCTTAGAGTTGAAGAAGAAGACGACAGCTAGACACGGCGGGGGGGACGGCGGTAGGTAAGGTCAGCTGTTGCCTGGAGGGTGAAGACGAGTCCCAAGTATATAGGGATACGATAGTCCGGCGGGCTCTGGCTCTCAACGGTGCCCTCAAGAAATCTCTCGGCCGGGGGAGATTATAGGCAACGCAGTGTGGACTCGTGGCCGGAGTTGGGGATTTTGGTGTGATGGAAGGGCGAAGAAGCAGAATATGGAGGAAGAGGAGGAGGAGAGCGTGGTGAGATGAGGTCGAGGGCGGCGGATTGCCTAACAAATCCGCCTTCCCAGGTTGTGCATGACTGCTGCCTGGAGTCACAGCGATGTGCTCGCTGCCCTTGCGGATGATTGCCGCTGCAGCAAATGGGAATGTTGGGGGGTATCAGGGGGAAAGCGCACTTGCTCTAATGAGGCCTAGTCTATACTATTAGACGCTACGAGTACGGTACGGTACGACAGGGGCGAAGTTATTGCGCCGCTACCTTCTCTGTTTGCTTCAAGGTAAAAAAGTATTTTGCTAAATCATGCTGGAAAATACGTCAATTAAGATGCGCCAGATGCACGAATATCCCGTGTTCAGGGCCTCTTTTCCCTCTTCCCCATGGCAGAAGCAGAAAGCCTGGCGGCAAACAAGTCGGCACGAGGTCACATGGATTAATAATTGACCAAAATAGCAGCCCGGATTATTATGTCAAAGTACTAGTGCGGGTGCTGGTTTGAGCATCCATCTCAGATTCTCAATCAAGTGGAGTGGAGTCACTTATCAACCGTGGATCGTTCGATAATCTGGTACAGTAGCGCTGTCAGACACGGTCTTCCGTTATCCCGATTTCATCACCGAACCATCAAGACCTGAAGAGCCTCATGTGGCAGGACAACCCCCACCAACACCAGGGGAAGGGACCATCTTCGGACTCCCACTGCAGTTCTCAGCCACCACCGGTGTGCGCTGGTCGACATTCCACTCTAATACGGATCCTCAGACTACACGCTTGGGAGAAGCCATATCTTGAACAAATATACACGCATCAATCACAGTCTTGGAATGCCGGTGAACAGTTCAAGGCCCGCCGGCCGGTAAGTAAACGCTGAATATTATTTGCCTCCTGGTCCTGCTCCGCAAACCCCACGCTTCTTGGCTGCATTCGCATCCGCATTCGTTACCGGTCCCCAATCGAGTTGAGCGTTTGTCGTTGTACCGTACCCAGCCCAGCCCAGCCTCACCGAGTACTTCTCTGGGAAAGCGGACGTACGAGCAAGTCCACCTTTTCGTCACATCTGTAAATTACTTGTACTTTTCCATAAAATCATACAGTACAATTAATCAAAACAAGCGATACTTCGTATTGATATCCGATCAAGATCCATCCGTGCTCACATCTATTGAATATTGAAACTTGCCCACGTCAAAGTTCAAAGCTTCTAAGTAAAGGCTTCACCTGTAATGGCCAGATCGCTTCACAGGGCTGAAATACAGTAACATCGATCGGACTTTTAAGCCAATAATCTTCACTTGATTTGGGCAAGACTTTCCTTTTCAGGAATCGAGTCATTGCATACTTATAATTTACAACGAATCGGCATCGTCCCCCGCCTCCCACTTGATGAGTCAAACAGCTGTCAGCTACACTCCACTCCGTACTCCTTTGCGGCACTGTCGGAAACGTCTTTCTCTGCCACACCCGACGCCCTCGACGCCGTAAAGCCACATAAAACCCTCACACTCCGTGACGGCATTTCTGGAGATCTGGTCATGCAAATGCGCGAAGGATTGCTTGCCGCCCTCACGCCCTCGAAATCTGTCCTCTGCCCTGCGCCTCTGCCCTTTGCCCTCTGCGCGCAAGAGCAACAGGAATCACAAACATCAAAATCCCTCATTACTCGCCAGCCCTATGAGCAGGCAGGAAAACAAGTGGAGTCAGTGGACACGGGTTTCACTTTAGCTGCGGGTCTGGGTGAGACGATGCTGGCAATTTGTTTCTTCATGCTGTGGATCGAGTTGTTTGCTTCAGCTTCTCGTGCTGTGTTCATGTGTTCATCGAATCAAGCAATCCTGCTGTTGTACCGAGTATATCAACTTCGAGCTCATCTCAGAACGGGACGTTCACTAATTGAGAGTCCTGGAATAGAAGAACCCAACTTTTGGTGCTTATTAGAGATTTACAGCATCAATTTTGACTAGAAGGATCATTACGATCTTGAAAAGGACTGCAGGAGCAATTGCAGATAAATGAAGCATAAATTGCAACTATTCCTTCCCCTATCAAGCTTCAGCTTCTATCAGAGTTATCGGCCAGTCACGTGCAATCGAGCCTATCGATAATCATCGTCGCGTCTGTCTATCGCCCCCGCGTTTTTATTTGAACGTCAATAAACCCATCCCATCCCCTCCCAAATGCCTCCATGACAGACCTCGCAAGTGTCCTCCCCGGATTTCCAACCCAGCAATATGCACGACTCCTGCCAAAACTCGAGAAGAATCTGGTTACAACCACAGACCTCCTCACACTCGATTGTGTTGAGGTAGCGAAACGCGCTCAACTCCCACTCTTAGACGTGAAGAGACTATGTAATGCGGTTCTTGAGGCGCTACAGCAGAACTTGGGGATAGCTGGGGCCGATAATGAAGCGCAGGGCTCGTCGACGTTGAAGAAGTCTGGAAAAGACATCGTCAGCTCTTGGAATACTATCAGTACTCTAGACGATGACCTAGACCGTGCATTGGGAGGTGGGATCCCCATAGGTTATATCACAGAAGTCACTGGCGAAAGGTATATAAGATATCCTACAAATCAACTACCACATAACCAAACTAACACCCCACAGTGGCGTAGGCAAAACCCAATTCCTCCTCACGCTCCTTCTATCAGCCCAACTCCCAGCTCCCCACGGCCTCTCCAGCTCCGTCCTATACATATCCACCGAATCCGCCCTCCCCACAACCCCGACTCTCCCCAGCTCCTGCGCACCCACCCAGTCCTCACATCCTCTAATCCAAAACCCACGCTCGACAACGTAATCAGCATCGTAACCCCCGACCTCGAATCCCAAGACCATATCCTCCGCTTCCAAGTCCCCGTCGCCATCTCGCGCCACAGCGTCCGCCTCATAATCCTCGACTCGGTCGCAGCAAACTACCGCGCCGAATTTGAGCGTCCCGGCGGAGTAGGAAACGGTGCCAACATGGCGCAGCGAAGCTCCGAGCTCATCAAACTAGGCCAGTTACTCCGCACCATCGCACGGGAGCACAACATCGCAATCGTAGTCGCAAACCAAGTCGCGGATCGCTTCTCCAATACCAGTGGAAGTGTAGGATCAAGTCCAGTGCTGAACCGAACCACGCAAAGCAGTCCCCTAGCAAGACGAAGCGCAGGCACAAGCACAAGCCCATCGAGCTCCCTAGCCGCACCCCCTCCAACGCCTTTCGCCGGCACACCTGACCCCATGTCCCTCGACCACCAACAGCGGTGGTTCACAGGCTGGGGCGATGATCCTCACCCCTCCCCCGTCTCGCTGCAGAACCTCAAAACCCCAAGTCTCGGCCTAATATGGACAACACAAATCGCATTCCGCATTGCCCTGATCAAGAAACCCGTCTATGGCCCAGGTCTCGTGGCAGATGAGGAGGAGCTCGTGCTGCAGAAATGGCGACGTTGGATGAAAGTTGTATTTGCGCCGCACGTGGCAGCGAGTGGACCTGGTGTGCAAGGGGCTGTTGAGTTTGAGATTAGGGGAATGGGCATCGCTGCTGTCGGAACAAATCGCGCTGTTGACGTTGGCGAGGAGGATGGTATTCTGCCGACATAATTAGGGGGGTTGATAATAAATGTAAAGATTCAAATCTAGCGGCTTGCCTGCAGTATCATGGCTTTGCACTACATGCCCACGTAAGCACACTGTTGTGTTAGAAAATAATGAACCGGTTTAAGTCAGGAAGGAAATCCTGAGTCTGATGTGAGACTGACTGATAAAAAAGCCACGTAATCAAGATGCAACCAGCAAATATCTCAGCGTTTCTCAAATCATCTACTAGTACAAGTAAATTTACATATAACCAAAGAATCTTCTCACATATACATACAGTACTTACACCAGACATACAATACAGACTCCATCCATATCCCCGTACTCCAAAGTAAACCATCAAGCCAGCCAGCCATCTAAGCTCACATCCCTTCTTTCTCCAGTCCAGTCCGGATCTAGATCCCGCAAATGCCTCCCTCCCGACCGAGCAACCTAATCAATCCTCTTGAAACTTCCAAGTACCTTCTTCCAACCTCATTTCCAAGTTTCCACACGCACTGATTAATCGACCAAGGAATCTGAACTGAAGAGCCATCTTTCTTTCCTTAATGCTGTATATGTATAATTCCCCGACCGCAAGCAAGTAAGACTCCATTTCCTCCATGCCGCAAGCTCCACTCGGTACACGGGATCCTTGAGGTAAGATTTCAAGGTACGCAGAGCCAGCTTCCGAGCTCGCCGCCTGAAACGGTATGCCGAAGGGAAGTCTTGAAGTCCGGGGGCTCGGATTATCTTGATTTCGGGGTAGTAGACGTGCCACGAATCAAGGCATATCAATAGCGCGGATCCCTCTTGTTGAACTCCTCCTCTAAGCCATGCTGGGCTGGCTGCATGATGAAGAGCAAGGCCTCACCACGCTTCATGTGCTATCTTTAGTCCGGACCTGAGAAAGGGAAAACTCGCGGCTAGGCTTTCGTCTGTATAGAAACTCTAATGCAGCGAGCGGCCTTGTAAGTAGAACCGTTAGTGCATTTTGATGCTGTTAGCAAGAGAAGGCTGAGATTCTCCAATGTCGGAATAGGCTCCCGCAATGCTAGATCGCTAGGGCGAGAAAGCGGATGGGTTTGGAGATGCGGTAGAGGAGTTTTTAGCGCGATTGGAGAACGGGAATAATAAGGAAAACGCCCTACAGTATTCTGTGCCTTGGTTATGTTTTCGCCAAAGAGTGTGCGAAGCTCTTCTTTTCTCATCTCGTCGAGGTGGGGTTCCAGCATCTGAACTAGGAGAGGCCGGACACAATAATACAACTCTAGGCCGCAGCTTCACGCGTATCTCTGAACGGAGCGACAATAAAGGTATCCAGCACCTCGGAGAGACTAAACCTTCTTGCCATGTCGAGTTTTGTCTTCAATTCGAGTTGTGGTGTGTCAAGGAAATGCAGGCACTTCGGAGTCGGATGCTTGGTGAGAATGTCCTTGAGAGTATCCCCGTCGATGTACGCATTGCCAGATAGACTTACTGTCTCTATGGCATCCAAGTTAAAGTCCAGCAGGGTCTGGCGAATTTTTTCTAGTGGGAATTTGGAAGGGGCTGAGATCGACAATAGAGAGGAATCAACAGTGACCATTTTCAATCGAATGCTTCCCGACTTGCTCTCTTTCCATCCAGCACCAGGCCATACCCATACCCATACCCATCCACACCCACACCAATAAGCGCCAACTAACACGACCCCGTAGCGCTACTCGTTCCACAAGTAAAACCGGTGCAATTAAATCCAATCGAGCCGAAAACAGCATCGCAGTTATACCCACTTGCAGCAGTTCCATTTCTCAGTGCAAGGTCAATGTTTTGAAGAGTAATGTTCTTACAAGGTGCAGCGGCGCTGCATTCTGCAGATTATCAGTGCTATGTTTCTTGCAAGGTTCAATGCGGAGAGGGTAGAACTTACGGAGACTCGCGATGGGGTTCGTGCCTATTGTCCCTGCTACATTCTCGAATGTCAAGTCCTCGATCTCAAAGAGAGATGTGTTGCACGCGCCAGCCACGCCGCTGAATGTCGTGCATTGAGATATGCTAAAGGGTATCCCGCGGAGATTGTTTAACGTAAAGTCGGAGAGAAGGATATCTTTCATGACTGGGGCATGCATTAGTACAAGGTGGTATTGTAAGTGAGAGGGAAGTCTCACATCCCAATCCACCGCCACCACCATTCGGTGGGTATCCAACCTGCTGGCCAGTCCAAGTCTTGACATAAGCTCCATGGAGTGTGTTGTAACAAGTTATGTTCTTCACTCGGATATTTTCAATAGTGTTGAATTCCCCTTTGTATTGCCCGATGCTGCCAAATGCAATACCAAGACCGTTGTGGAATGTACTATCGAGAACGCGGATATTAGTGCTATTGGCTTTGAAGGCTATGCTGTCGTCTCCATTTGTGATATCCCACCGCTTGAATGTGATGTGGTCCGAGAATATAGTATTGGCACCATCTGTGTTACTGCTTGTGGTACCGTCATTGCCAGCATTATTGACGTAGATATCTTGGAGCAGGACATTTTTGCTGTGGATGACAGTCATCGTCCTCGGTATGGTTAGCATATCGACTTCAAGAACGTCCTGTTCCTAAACATACCACATTTGACTTTGCACGAATTTAATTCCCTCAAACACAGAATTCGTTGTATTCGCAATCGTTATTGCATGTGGTCGACCAGGGTAGTTGCTTTTGCCATGTATAAATGTATACCATGCTTGCCCACTTCCATTCAAGGTTCCATATCCGTGGCCTTGGAAATTGATATTGTCTCCACCAAAAACCCATGCTGAAGACTGCAAGATCTGTTAACATCATAGTGGGAACTCGGGATTCGCAAGACTAATCTGGTTTTGATACCCAACAGGTAGTGAGTTATCCAACCAGTACGAAATATTATTTCCCCACTTCAATAACAACTTAGCAAACCTACAAAATGAACAGTGGAATTGCGTACTAGTAATGTCCCCCTGAGATCTACTTCACAATTCTTGAGCCCGGTGGTGTTTAATACAGTATTGACATGATACGTCTCATTGAGGAAAAGAATCTTTCCGTTGTGACCACATTGGGTAAAAGCATCAATTATAGCAGGAGCGTCGTCTATGGAAGAGTTGCCGCCAGGATTCACAACACAAGTCTTGAATTCAAGGTTTTGGGTGCTGGCTTCCGCGATTAAACTGGCAATTGCCGCCCTAATACTAATGATCATGGGAAAGAGGATGTTAAAGAGCTTCATTTCAAGTTGCTTGAATCATAAGTAACAACTAAGCAATGTTTTATAGATCTTGAAAAGTGTTGTTATATACATTACAACCCCACAATGCGGGGTAGCGGACAAGGACCCTTTAGAATTGAGAAGCATGCTTGAAGCCTTTCTCCCTAATCTACCGTGACAACAGGCGGAAGAAATACACGGAACTAAGGTGTAGTTTCTCCATCACTGAACTCTAAGAGTTCTTTATAGGACTTTCTGGAGATTTTGGCTTAGCTCGGGAAGAGATAAACCGAGTTCAAGTTGATACTAAACTTCGAAAAACAATAAATATTATATGCAAATGTTTTGAACACCTCTCCAAGAACGACTGAAAATGCCCTCGTATACTAAGAACGGTCTGAGTCGCGTTGATTGTGATGATGGGAGCCATGGAACAATACTAGGAATTATCCTTCGGTGAGGGACTCTCTGTGACACCTCTTGAAAAGTCACGGTAGTGGGAGCATTGATTTGCTAAAACACAAATGCATAACCTTTAGATACCGTATTAACTAACAAAGGAGAGGAACAGTCTACGCTAATGGTATGGCGGTGATGCCAGGTAGGGGAAGCAAAGCTTAGTATCTAGGAAAGAGAAACTAGAAAAGATGCAATGCAATGCAATTCAAAGCAGAGGTGTAGGTCAAGTACAGAACTATAAAATGCTCGGAACTAAATCCTATCTCAATCTTCAATAGTAATGGAATGGAGTTCCTATTCGGTCTTCTCTTCCGGGATAAAAAGGGTTATTCAAGGCTCTTGTACCTCAATATTGCTATTGCTAATGTCGCCACAACTTCAAGCAGCAAAACAAAGCTATTCAGATGCGTAAAATAGTGACGGGAGTGAAAAAAGCGCAACATGGTTGGGAATTGGATACAAAATCAACAACAAAGGAGAAGGCCTAGAGGGACCTTCCGTGCATGGCCTTAAATCTCACTCATATACCCCAGAGGGATCCACTAAGCTTAAGACGCGGGGAAATCGACTAGAGTATCCCTGGAAGCGCATCAACGGATAGGATGATACGAATGAAGCCCTGAGCTTTGAAGCCTTTGTATACTGTACATGTCATCTTAACACTCCCTTGCCGCCTTGCAGTCCCCTGCGGAAGCTATTTCTCCATCGAAGAAAGAACATCACATCTATTTAGAGATCCGCCTCATGCGCGGCATGAATGAGATGTGACTCCTCCCAAGTCCTTCGTCGACTTTGTAGGATTTAATTGCTTATAGTCTGCAACAACATAAACAAGGTTGATGGTTTCACGTTGGTATGCTGTAGAAGGCGTAGCAAATATCCGAGTCTAGACCTTTCCCCCATCGTACCACGCCACGCCCCTCTCCGACGGACCTCGAACGTTTCAGCCTTAGCCTAAACACGAAAACACCACGGGGAATGCTTTTGTTGCACTTCGCGATCTGTGCCTAGATGCTAGTCTGGAGCTGTCTAGACGTCGTTGGAGTCTTAGACGTCTTAGTGTCGTTCGATGTTGGATCCACGTTATGAAGTTCGAGAATCTCGACTCTTTTGGTATAATTGGGCTAGCTAGGCCTAGATGGGAAAGTTCTTTTGTAAACGCCGAGAAACGCTTTGCAAACGCCTTATATACCACAAGTCTATAACAGAGTCTTCAATACCTAGATATTACAACCTCTGCCTCGGCAATATATTGCTGTTGTTGTTGCGGGACACCATATTTGACGTGGTGGAGGAGTTTAAAGTACTCCTTGTCACTAGAACTATAAGAAAAGATGTTATGGGATATCTTCGTTCAACTCAAAACGTATTCTAACCCAAGACATAGTATTGTCAACCTAGCCTAGTTCATCTTACTTGTCAGACACAATGAGGTCGAAATAGGTAGCCGTGATACATTCTACTGTTCTCAAGTATCCAATCAACTGCGAATTATGCCACAAGCCTCCCCTCAATATTACAAACCTCCATAAAATATAACTAATCAAGAGAGAGAGATGAGAAAGAGAAAAGAAAAACACCCCTCTATTCAAACCACGTGCCTCCATTTCCACGTCTTCCGTTAAAAGCGGGGTTGCCAAGCCAAGTTGACATTGACGTCTCGCAAAAAGCACCCCACCAAGATCAAGTTCAAAGCAATCCAATCTCACTTCACTTCTTCAATTGAATATCATCCAAGCTTCTACAGACGTTATCCTCGCTTCTCTTTACACAGAACAGAACGAATAACTCTGCGGACTGATTTAGAAGCCACGACAAACATGTCTCCACCCGCCATCATTGCGCCTTCGATCCTGTCTGCGGACTTTGCGGAGTTGGGAAAGGCATGCTCTGATACAATCACTCAGGGAGCTGATTGGCTTCACGTAGATATTATGGATGGGCACTTCGTTCCTAATATCACTTTTGGAGCTCCTGTTGTCACCAAAATCCGAAGCCACGTTGCGAAGCCAAGCGAAAAACACGGCAAGGGAACGTTTGACTGCCATATGATGATTGCAGAGGTATTTCACTTGTCTTCCAACCTAATTTACAGGGAGCTTTCATCTAATAATTGAATTACTGGATAGCCAAAGAAATGGGTCAAGGAATTCCAAAAAGCAGGCTGCGATCTCTACTGCTTCCACTACGAAGCCGCCATCTCCAGCACAGCTGCCGAGAGTCCCGAAGCAATGAGCGAGGCCAAGACGAGTCCTAAGGACATGATTAGGTATATCCATGAGTGTGGCATGGCGGCGGGGATTGCCATTAAACCGGATACAAAGGTTGATGTGCTATGGGATATTTTGGAGGGGAAGGAGGAGGTGGAGAGGCCGGATGTGAGTTCCCCACCCACACGTCTTTCTTGAGAGAAGAATTTGGGTCAAAATACTGATGAATTGCAGATGGTGCTTGTCATGACAGTTCACCCTGGATTCGGCGGGCAGAAATTCATGGCTTCGGAATTACCCAAGGTCACAGAGCTGAGGAAACGATACCCGGAGCTGAATATTGAGGTTGATGGTGGTTTGGGCCCGGGAACTATCGATCAGGCTGCTGATGCTGGGGCCAATGTTATTGTTGCTGGGAGTGCAGTATTCGGGGCTAAGGATCCGGCGGATGTTATTGCGAAGTTGAGACAGGCTGTTGAGAGCAGGAGGGGGAAGCTGTGAGGGTTTATTGGGATGGATATGCGAGATTACGAGATATGAATTATATGACATTGTGTGAGACATAGAAGGAGTTGCATTTCTAGGGGTTGATTTCCTGGTTTTACGAGCCAAAGCTAGATGGGTGTAGAAATAATGCTGAGACGCAGGACTTTCTAATGTGCGTAGGAGGTAATATGTCGTGGCCGTGGTCAATGGAAGATTCGAATCTGGTGGATGCATAGCAAGATGTATACAAGGTATGATGATCTTTAAATCTACCTATGAAAACCTATTCACTCATCTGCCGCCAGTTTTGAATGACCAAGTATGCATCTTCTCCACATTCGAATATTCTCAAGACCATATGACAACACACGCTACTTATATTGGAGGAAAATGCTCAAGCTATATACTGTTTGTCAAATAACAAAGTAAGCTGAATTGCGCTGGTCCCCACCCCAAACCCATCAAGCCCCTCAATTCGAAACTCGGCTTTCAAAAAGGCAGTTCAAAGTGGCTCTAGTTTGATAGTGACCAAGGTAGACTTCTCAAAGAATGCTTCGTAACAACAACTCCGAGCCATCACCGAGTAATGAGTGGCGTCTGATTGGCCAGATGCGCAGATCTGGGGTTCTTGGTGGGGTCTGAGTAGTGCGGAATGATTGCGGGGTGGGCGACCGGTAGCCGCTTGTCGAGAACGGACTCTGGGGACGGCATTTCAGTGCAAAATATATTTTGGCTATAATTGGCTTTTACTCCCCAGAGATGTCGTAGAGCAAGAACCTCTATCTGCCTCCGTTCGGCTGTGTCTGTTGTGCGGTTGGCTGTACCCACTACTTTAGTCTCATCTTTGCTGTTCACCGTTGAACTGCAAGAACCCCTCCGTCCCGATCCGACCATCCGCGATCCTCGTATCTAAAGATGGCTGTCACAGACTTCATCCTAACCCCCTGGGCAATTCCTGTTGCCGTTGTCCTCTTCTTCCTCGTGCCCTACCTCACCTCGAATACTGGCCTACGAGATATCCCAGGCCCCTTTGCTGCAAAGTTCTCCGCCTTGTGGCTTTTGCTGCAAGCTCGCCAGGGAAAGAGATACAAGAGTGTTGATGAAGCACACAAGAAATGGGGAAAACTAGTCAGGATCCAGCCTAACCATGTCTCTGTCGCCGATGAATCTGCCATTAATGCCATCTATGGCCATGGAAACGGGTTCTTGAAATCGTGAGTAGCTAGTCGATTGAGTTGCAAAAGCCATCAGCTAATACTCCACCCCCAGCGACTTTTACGATGCCTTTGTCTCCATCCAACGTGGTCTCTTCAACACACGAGACAGAGTAGAGCACACCCGAAAGCGGAAAACAGTCTCCCACACCTTCTCCACCAAGAGCATCTCCCAATTCGAAATCTACATGCACCAGAACCTCGAACTCTTCGTGAAGCAATGGGACACGCTTTCCAAGAACGCCCATGGCAGTTATGCCAAGATCGACTGCCTGCATTGGTTCAACTACCTAGCATTCGACATGATTGGAGACCTCGCATTCGGCACCCCCTTCGGCATGCTAAAAAAGGGGAAAGACATTACGGAAATCCGCAAAACGCCCGACTCGCCCGTCACATACGCACCAGCCGTCCAAGTCCTCAACCGCCGCGGCGAAGTCTCAGGCACTCTCGGCTGTCTCCCCGAACTCAAGCCCTACGCCAAATGGCTTCCCGACCCCTTCTTCACCCAAGGCATCGCGGCCGTGCAGGACCTCGCTGGAATTGCCGTCGCGCGTGTAGCGCAACGCTTGGATGGGAAGCAAGATGCCGGACGTGTGGATCTACTCGCGCGCCTCATGGAAGGCAAGGATGACAGGGGCGAGCCTATGGGGCGCGAAGAACTCACAGCCGAAGCCCTAACGCAGCTAATCGCCGGCTCAGACACGACCTCCAACACCTCCTGTGCAATATTGTACTACATCACCAAGACCCCTGGTGTTCTGGCCAAGCTGCAAAAAGAGCTCGATGCTGCTATCCCCGCGGAGATCGACGTGCCTAGCTTCGACATGGTGAAGGATTTGCCGTATATGAATAATTGCATCCAGGAGACCATGCGCATTCACTCCACCTCTGCCCTTGGCCTTCCTCGTCTCGTACCCCCCGGACCGGGCGTGGAGATCCTCGGTCACCATTTCGCGCCTTACACCGTGCTCTCTGTTCCCGCCTACACTATCCACCATTCTAAGGAGATCTGGGGAGCAGATGCCGATGAGTTCAAGCCGGAACGATGGGATAATCTAACCGAGAGGCAAAAGACAGGTTTCATCCCCTTTTCGTATGGACCGAGAAGTTGCGTTGGCAGGAACGTAGCCGAGATGGAGCTTGCGCTTATCGTCTCCACCACGTTCAGGAGATATGATTTTGATTTATATCAGGGGGAGTTGGAGACGAGGGAGGGGTTCTTGAGGAAACCGCTTGAGTGTATGGTGGGGATTAAAAAGAGGCCAGGAATGTAAATACTACTTCCTAGTTTAGATATCTGGAAAGCCTGGTATTTAATATATCTGTATATACTTGCATGAATATGAAATTTAGAAAATTGACACAGAATAATAGTAGTTCTAGATTATGCGTTATATTTCTGCCTCACTTTAGAAACTTCATTCAAGTTAAACGGCTATAACCAACTGGACGCATACATACACACATACACATATACATATCTCCCTTTCTCCAAACTTCCTCCTCTTAAAAATCATCCTTTAGCCTTCAACTTAACTCAACCCAACTCCAGTCCAGCTACTAGTGCATATACCAATGTCAAAATATCACATCTCCGTCTATCCTATTACAACAGTGATTCACCTCTATACATAGACACACCACTTTGCTATAAACGTAATCTTACCTATATATAAATTATCTTTATTTCCGAGTCTGAATCCGAATCTGGATCATAAAGTACAAGTACATATATGTATGTATTTACATGTAATTTGGTGTAATTAATAAATTCATTGATTCAGTAATCGCACCGATTGCTTCTCTTGGTCGACTGGCTGGCTGGCTGGGTGGCCATACTTTCTTAAGCGCTATCGGGATACGATGGGACGAGGTAGGGACGGCAAATACAAAAATAAAAACCAGACAACTGCTCTAATATGAAGAAGACCTTGGATTATACAACGACGAGAATTCTGTACCTAGGCTTTTACTTGGAAGAAAGAGTGTGGGGTGGGGGCTAATTTAATAGTATATTGATTTATTCATCATGCTATGTAGAACAATCTGAGGCAGCTTGCGCACTGTAATGTTACCTATTATCCGTTACCTCTCCAACTCCAAATCATCCCATATCTGCTTCTTTCTTTCATATCATGCACATGCAAAGCAAACCTTCCCAGGCCTGGTTTTCGATTCCGCCCAGGTAATATGACCTTCTGCAACGCCTGCCTGTATGTGATTTTGTGTGACAAAGGAAAAGTGGCATTGGTACAAATCGTGAATGGAAAGCGTTGGAAAAACGATGTCGAGTTATGTGCGAAGATGTGTGGATCGGAGGGGAGTGGTGTTGCGAGTTCAGAAGGTGAGAGGTTGCTGGACATCTTTTTCTTTCTCCTTCGCCTTCCCTTCTCGAGTGGAGTTCTCCGTGTCATTCTCCTTGTTCAGCCCCTCCACTAACGCTGCCTGCTCTGCCCGTGCCTTTGCCTGCTCCTTCAAGATCAACTCATGCTGCTTGATACAAGCATCTTCAATCTCAGCCAGGAAACTAAGATTCTTGTTAAGCTGGAATTTCTCGTCTCCCTTCCTGGGTATCTTAGATCTGCCCATGTAGCATTCGAATCTAAACCTGGTGAACAAGTTCAATTGTTGCTCATCCTTCCAGGCTGTAACAAGATCACCGTCTCGGAGTTCGCCCCAGTATCTAGAATATCCTCCTCGATCCTCCGGCTTGTAGCTAAAGAGCTGAACATCATTGATCCAAATTCCCTGAGAAGCCTTCGTCGATATGTAGAATGCTTTGTTCTCCTCCTTGGACGCTGCATGGGCTGGCTTTGGCTCCGAGTTTACATTAGGACCGGCTTCGAACAGTATTATCTTGAAGGCAGACTTTGGTACGCGGCCCTCTTTGGTGTTAGGATATCGGACAATAGACTCAGGGGCTCTACCCCAACTAGTAACGTTTTCAGTGATGCTGAGGTTAATGTTGGAAATGCAGCTGTCCGGTGTCGTTATCAGCTTCGCCAGAACACGTTTTGGGACATGGAATGCGGATTCGAAAGCAGGCACCAGAGGTGCATCCGTCATGGTAATACTGGGCACATCGGGACGAGGAGACCCTGCGTATGAAACACGAGCCGTAGACGGGATATAGTCCTCTTCCACATCACGGCTTGGGGTAGTTTGCGGATTGATATCATCTAAGGTCCGGTCGTCCCGCTTCATCAGCATATGTCGTCCCTCATCTACCGCCTGTTCACCCGCAACTGGAGATACTTCGACGAAGGAATTACTATGGCTTCGACTGCGAAAGAAGCTTTTCATTGTGCCCTCGAATGACTTATGACCTTGCTCAAACTCCTCGCCCTTAGACTTTGCCCAATCTTTGAGGTTGTTGTAATCTGATGTGAGCATCGTCGGGTAATTGTGGTGATGGGTAGATTTGTCGGCTGGGTCCCAGAAAATGGATTGGGGAACAGGCATGTCGATCTCACGTTGTGATTTACGGCGACGCTTTGCCGGCAAGTCAGCAGGTTGCCAGTTCTCGTCATCTTCCAAACCCTCTTCGCGAGGTCGTCGAAGACTAGTATTCATCTCTCGACCAGCATCTGGAGGTGAAGTAGCGCCTGGGGACGCGGCGGAAACGGGAGAGTGCATATTCAATTGGCCGACCATTGACTCGGTACCCATCAGACTAGACGATCGTACAGCGCGTTCGGGTAGTCCCTGTCCTTGAAGTTGACGACGGAGATCGCCAGCTTTGAAGTTTGTGGTTGCGGGTATATGTGTTGGAGGCGCCATAGCAATGGCAGGCTCAGTCGAGGGAATTACTCCTGCCAGCTGGGATAAATGGTCGCTTTGAGATGGATCGAGTTGGTCCTCGCTATAGTTGCCATGCCGCTCAGAGTCGTCAAAGTTGAGGTCGGATTTGGGGTGAATGCCGTGATGGTCATTGTTGGACGCAGTGGATGGAAGTGGCAAATTCAATTGCGGATCAAGGGGGATAGCCCCAGAACTTCCCACATCGGAAATATTCACCTCCCCAAACAATCGGCCATTCCCATTCCCATTGATGATCGGATGACCATTGCCATTAGCATAACTGTAATCATAATCGTAACTACTGGTGACATTCGAGATGCCATCACTAAAGCTGCCGGGAATCTCGCGTTGTTGAATCTCTGTAACATCACTGACACTTTGGCCGAAGTCTGCGCTGTCTTCAACCTCGCAATCGTCAATAAGACTGAGCTGCGAAGCGCCTTGCTCGATGTCCGTTTCCTGAAGGCTAAGTTGTGAGGTGCCTTGCTCTAGTTCGGTATCCTGTGATAGCTCCTTATCGTCGTCCCCGAGGAGCCATGAACTCTGTTGCAATTCTTCAATCGTAGCTCGGAATTCAGGACGGACATGGAGCATTTGGCGGACAAAGCGGATTCCATTCTCCGAAACATTGGCAAGCTGAAGAGGACGAATGTCCAGGGGTTCGGTCATAATCCGGTTTAGGATGATCATATAGGTAGAACCGTTGCTTGCTGGATATGGAGGACTGCCGCACAGAGCGAAGAAGAGCACTCCAGCTAGAGACCAGATATCTACAGCATGGTCGTATCTTGCCGCAGGCTGGGTGTGCTTGTCCTTTCCTCGAAGAACGGTTCGCTTGCCATTCTGATCGTATTCACGATACTCTGTGTATACTTCAGGTGCACAATACAATAAGGTCCCGCAGAATGTACGCAAGCCAGTCTGTTCGTTCTCAACCACCTTTGACAACCCGAAGTCCGTTAGTTTGGTGTGCAATGGACGACGGCGGGCGATGAGGATGTTATCCGGCTTGACATCTCTGTGTGTTACTCCCTCGCCATGCAGATAACCCAAAGCACCCAACAGCTGACGGGCCATGTCTTTCACGTCGGGTTCAGGTAAAGGTCCGTTTTGGGTGATCAAGGTACCAAGATCACCACCAGGAATGTATTCCATAATGATATAGAGGTAGTCCTCCCAATCAATATGCTCTATATACTTGACAATGTTTTCCTAGATTTCATTAGCAAAGCTATAAGTCAGAAATAGATGTACACACGTGCTGAATCTTGCTCATGATTCTCATCTCCATGTCCATTTTCTGGTCGAGAATTCCATTCTTCATAAAGCGTCGCTTTTCGAGTTCCTTTGCTGCAAATGGTGTTCCGTCAAGCTTTGCAGTGACCTTGTAAACGATAGCAAAGGCGCCTTTGCCAATTTGAGCCACTCTGTTGTATTTGCTGCCACCTTTCCATTCTCTAATATGCTTGCCAAATGTAGATATGGGAGAGTAGTCAGGGGTATTAGCAGCAGGGGTCGGGAAAAGATTCACCTGTCAACAAGTTAGTAATGCGAGCAGTTCTCAGGGGCATGCATATATTACCGGGTTACCATTCCGTCCAGGTCGCATGAGAGCTTTTGTTCGAGGTTGATCTCGCAAAGCAGCCTTACGCAGAAAGAATTTAGTAACGTTCTGTTGATAAGCAAGCTCAGCTTCATCAGATCGATTTGGAATCCAAGTCATGAATGCCAAGTCATCCTTTGCTGTACCTCCAGTAATAACAATCTTCTGCCCTGAATCAAGAGTATGCTTGAAGGCCATGTTATTCTCCTTCTCTTTGGCTTTCAAGAGGGTTCTATCAATCATTGTGCCATTAGTAGACTGGTCCTCAATCATAATCACACAATGCTCATTGATATAGATTCTGAAATGAGTATTGCTAACTCGTCTACCGGGATCGTTGTTGCCTACGGGGAAGTCGCATCGATCCGCGTTGCGACCAAACTGGAAGCCCATAAGGGGGTCCTTCAGATTCGCGGAAAGTCGAAGAGCAATGCCGCAAGGCACGAGACCTTCTGCTGCAATTTCGAACGTGTTAACTGCTGGTTCTGCAGACGTAACTTTCTCCTTAATGTGTATATCGCTTCTCGTCTCGAGGGTATTCTGTGGAGTTGCCTTGTAGATCTGATCGGCAGCTCGATTTGCGTTTATTGTCATAGGGTACAAAACGCAGATTATGTCGGAAGCATCCTCGTCTGACAGTCCCGAGTTGCCTTGACCGTAGCGTCGTTCGTCATTGTACTGCTGGGTGGCTACATAATTTGAATCAGTGTCTGCCATCTTTCTTCAAAGTTTATGGTATTTGAGGACGAGATCGCGGGGTGACACATGGGCAAACGCAAGAATGGGCACAGGGGAGCAAAAGCAAATACAAGGGGTTGAATATACCAGGTTGCGTTGCTTCTTCCTCCGTGTTCATTGTGAGAGTTACGAGGGGAACCGAAGTCGGTGGAGGAGATGTGGGGTACGGAGAGATGTGCAGTGTAGAAGCTCTGGCTTGCGAGAAGAAATTGACATCTAATGGCTGCCGGGGAGACAGCATTGAGACGAGGTGGCAGATTTTAGGCAGCAACAGCGTTGCCCTGTGTGCTCCCAAGTTGAATTAGGATGTTCGAGATTGTATGATATATCCGAGGACGACGTCCAACAAGCAGCTAGACAGAGATCCGCAACTTCCCAGATTCTCCCCCGCGTATAAGGTCATAAAGGGTACCGCTGGGTAGAGGGTCGCAGATGTTTCAAAGAATGGCAAAAGACAACAAAGTCCTCGTCGTGAATCGTAGACGTCTCGAAATACATCCAAAGGAAGCTTGACGGTCGTCGCTATATTCAGATCAGTAATGGTCCTCCCAGCAACCAATACAAAATGTTGGGGGGAAGTACATTGCCTCTTCGGCGCACAACCTTGCCCTGGACGGGCCCACCACAACAGGTGACACTTTCACTCTGCGGGTATATAGAGTGAAAGAAGTCGACAGGGCCGAGTCGCTCACACGACTGGAAACGTTCAAATGAGACTTCGAGGCTCGAGGCATCTTCAGTTCCATATAATGTGAATTAAGCATCCGATCTGATGATCCGGCCGGATATGCTAGTCTAAATTAAGGCAAGCGTCAGCCCGTCTCCAATGTTTCTAGCGGCCCGTTGCTTGTGAGAGCCGAACCCTTTACAATCATCAACGTCCTCTCCACCCGGGAAATAATCGGCCGATTTTGACACCCTTCTAAAGCTCAAACAGCTTGATATATATAGGTCTGGTAGGCAGGAAAAAAGAAGAAAAAAAATAGACATTATAATATTCAAGACCCGTAGATACTATTTAAAAATTTCTACGTTTTTTTTTCATATACTTTCAACTATAAATATTAATAGAAGGGGTATTAGTACAGGCGTTGCGCATGTGTCAAAATCGGCCTTTTAATTCCCGGGTGGAGAGAACGTCGTCTCTGCGTAGCGAGACGCACCCTGTCACGAGACGAATCTATGGTTTTGGAATTTTAAATTTTTTCTTAGCAAGTCTCATTGACCTATCCACCGTCGCTGTTATAAGAGAGTACACCCGCAAGGTGTCAAAGTCCTCGTCGAATGCGCTATCGGCCTCGTCTTTATCCTCAAGTCTTCCTACACTACGCTCCTGCTGTACCTTCGAAGGATCCTTCAGAATTCCTTGCGAATAAAGAAGTCGCGGTCTAGGGCAAATGGGACAGTGGAAAAGGACTCGCATTTCAGGCTTGATCCGTCTGTGCGCTGGCGTTAGCATATATGTGGTTGTTCGTATGGCCTACGGTGGTGGACTTACCTTGCATTATGGGGTAGCCTCCCAAGTAATTGTTTATGGCAGCGCCAGTCTTGAAGTGCGAGCCAGCAATGACGTTGCGGCCGCCAATAGCTTCGAATTTGGTTGATCCCGGCATCTTTGCTATCGAACAGCGGTGCAGGACGCAAATATATGTTGCAGTTTGTAGATCGAAGTGATGAAGACGGTAAGCGAAGCTATGAGCAACGTGAACCACTTGGCAGCGGCTCAACCACAGCTCTCAACCACAGCTAAGGTAGGTATTAAGCTTCAGATATAGTTAACGTTGATTAATTGACTGGAGCTGGACATTGAAGTAAGTTAGACCAGGCCCTCAGAAATCGCTGCTCTTATTAACTACAAGGAGAGTGTGGTTCCTGTTGCCGCGCTACTTGGAATCTCATAGCTTACAAATTGGCTTTCTAAGCGAAAGCTTTGTAAACATCAGAAATGCTATCATATTGTAAATTTCAAAGCAATGCAGAGCTTAGGCTTAGATAAACAATTATTGCAACTATACATATAAGTGTAGAAGTTAAAGGAGGCGGGTGGGGTTGGGGGTCGTTAAAAGTTTATCTAGAGAACCGTCTGACTTTCGTTACCTTTAATTGTCGTTGGGTTCCTTCTCAAATCTGTAGTTATCATTGGGTTTCCCCAGAGCCGCACTATACCGTCCCTGGACCCTGATGCGAGCACCTTGCCGTCTGGCGAGAATGCGAGGGCACCAACGCCCCTAGAATAGCCCTTAAGCGTGGCTAGGCACGCTTCCGTCGCCGGGTCCCAGAGCTGCACTGTGTTGTCGTCCCAGGACCCTGATGCGAGCACCTTGCCGTCTGGCGAGAATGCGAGGGCATCAACGCCCCCGAAATGGCCCTTAAGGGTGGCATATAGCTTCTGATAGACGACTTTAAATCCAGATTTTGCTGTTGATTCTGTTATTGCTGATTTAGGCGACAGCATCGTCTCTTCAGTATGCGCCTCAAAGGCTGAAAACTGGTCTTTAGTCCTTAATGGAGCTGGTAGCGCGAGATTTACGTTATCTGCTCGCCTGCTCGTAGGTTTATAAGGCAGAGTTTGGTTGTGTGTGCTCCAGCGTGCAGAGGCTTCAATATCCGAATTGTACGATTTTGTTTCGAGTGGCTTTAATTCGTTGGTTAACCTCATATTACTACTAATAATTATTAGCAATACTGTGTTACTAATTTTTGGAGAGAGCAGGTTATTAGTAGATCATAGAATACTTTACCTCTGAGCTTCAGAAGTTTGACATACTAAAGAAGATAACCACGGCTGCTGAAGACATTCCTCGACTCTAGGGCGATCCTCGGCCTCTGGCGCCATCAAAGCCTTTACAAAATCACATCCTTGTACGCTCACTTTATTGGCTAATAATTTATCGAGTGGGAATGCAAAACGGCCTGCAACATACTGGCCGAGGCGTCGCTGATCTTTGAACAAAGTCTCGCCAGTAAGTATAAGGAATGTAATCACACCTAGAGACCAGATGTCAACAGCATTTGTGTACGGCTCTAATCGAGTAAAGTCAAGTACTTCCGGTGCTGCAAAAGCAGGAGTGCCAGTCCGGGTCCGTAGTGCAGTAAGTTCTTCGGTTGCACGCTTGCTAATCCCAAAGTCCGCAATTTTCACCCACCAATTTGGACCCATGTTGACAACTAGGATATTCTATTTTGGTTGTATATTAGCTTACGGTATTAGGACCTATAAGGGGAGTAAGCATGCTTACAGCTGGCTTTAAGTCTCGATGAGCAAACCCATTTTGATGCATGAAATTCAGTCCTTCGAGAACCTGGAGAACGATAGACTGGCCTTCGATTTCTGGTAGTGGCGAAGTAAGTTGCTGATGTAGGTCGCCGTCGGGAAGAAATTCCATGGCTATGTAAATACTTTTGTTATCATCGTACCAGCCGAAGGATTTCACAAAGCATTGCTCGTACTAATCAGATATTAGTGAGATATTACCGCGATTAAGAATATAGATAGACCGACCTTATTATGAGAGAATAGAGCAATAGCTTCCAGTTCTCTATAATAGCGATTGCGATCAAGCTTCTGGATCTTCTTTACAGCTCGTACCTCCCCTTTCGTATCACCTTGAATGCATTCTTCCAACCAGACATCCCCGAAAGTACCACGACCTAGTCTTCTTATTCTCTGCCATCTTTCTTCCTTCGGAACCCTTCTTCGTTCCCGTGTATTTTCTGGAACATGTTGAATATGTTGGGTGTATTCTGGGCTTGAAGAAAATTGAGTTTCGAGCTGCGAAAGCCGTACAATGTCTGGAACAGATGGTGTAGAAGCCATCCTAGAATGCCTTTACAGAAAATATAGGAGCGCTTAGCCTAAGAATTATTAGACCGTGTACTAATCGTGGATAAGATTAGTGCTGAACCTTCTATCGCTAGCCTTGGCGCATACAGGAACATTCGACATACGATTATTTGTAGCAGATAGATCACAGCTAGATGAGAAAGAGCAGAAGACGTCCTATGTAAAGAGCAGTCGTAGTATGAAGCTTCTGAGAAGTCCGATGTTATGCTTCTGTCAGTTCCCTTGCGTCTTCAATCTCCAGCCTTCCAACAACTCAGCCGCAACTGCCAAAAGTGGGTCTAACTTAGTTAGGACGTTTCACGAGCTAACCGCCCCGCCCAAACCACCAAAGTCTGATTTCATCAACAAGTCGCATCATCATCACGGTAATTAAGCAACATTTATATTCTTAAGACCAACATCTCAGTACGTTCTTACCTGCTTTCGGAGATATGGAAGTGGCCGGATTGGCATTGGCTATTGTCGCAACGACTGACCTGTGTTTCAAGTAAGGACCATTCTCTTGCTTGAACGTGATGTATCATTAACTACCTTAATTCAGATACGGCAAGATCCTTATCGATACATGCACATCGTTCAAAGGCGCTAAAACCGAGATTAACGAACGAATACTATATGTTGAGAGCCGTTGGAACCGTACAAGAATACAACTTGTCTTTATCAAGAAGATCTGGGACACCCTTGACGAAGAGCATCAAAGCATTCAAGATCGGCTTCTGCAAGTGCTAGCTAGCAAACTAAGCAATACAACGTCGAAGTTGGATAAACTATCAAAAAAGTGGTCGCATACTCAAGAAGCGGAGCACCAGGTTATAATGGTCAATCCATTGAAATATATTCTCGTTAAACAGGGTCTTGATGACACTATTCAAGATCTAGCTTTATGGCAGAAAGAGTTCGATCCGTCTTGGTTCTTAATATTGAAAGTGCCGAATGCCCTCATTGATCAAGAGCTAAGCAAAGATGAATTGACATCTTCTTTTCCTAGCATGCGCGATCTTAGAGGTGCCGCAAGGGAGAGGCCTCCTCAGAAGAAATCAATTTTCCTTCCAGGAGACGGAGTTGATTTATCAACAAGACGTGAAATACCCTTCGCATCAGCAAAGTGTGTCCAGCGAACTGGTTCCGAAAATTGGGTTCTGATAGACTCTATGCCGTGCGATCCAGAAGCCGACGTCAATTTGCAAACCAAAGACGTGAGAGAGCTGGCAAGTAAGCTCTCTCATTTGGATCCGATAGTATTTGGCATACTTCAATGCCGAGGTGTAATTCGTAACCTGGAAGCTGGTAACAAACGACCATCTTCCTTCGATTTTGTATTTCAAATACCTAATGAGCTTAGCGATCCTAAAAGTCTTCGCAGCTATCTCTCCTTAGGTACGGATCACACTCTTACCGACCGTCTCAACGTCGCAAAACAACTTGTCAAGTCCGTAAGCTACGTCCACACTCTTGGCTTTGTACACAAAAATGTCCGCCCCGAGACTATCCTAGCATTCCAAGACAAAAAGTCAGCCCTTGGCATCGTGTTTCTCACAGGCTTTGAGAAGATACGCATGGCAGATGGTCGAACGCGGAGGTCGGGGGACTCTGCTTGGGAGAAGAATCTCTATCGTCATCCACATCGTCAAGGCGTGAATCCCGAAGAGACTTATGTTATGCAGCATGACATTTACAGCTTAGGTGTCTGCCTTCTGGAGATTGGAATATGGGAATCATTCGTAGCATACGAGGACGATACAGCAGCCCCTATACCAACAAAATCTCTCAACATTGCTTCAGAAGATGGCGAATCCGGCGGGCCGTATCTGATGAAAGAACATCTAGTCGCTCTAGCAAAACACCATCTACCTAGATGCATGGGAGAGAAATACGAGCAGATAGTCGTGAACTGTTTGACTTGCCTTGATGACGATAATGCTGATTTTGGCAACCAGAATGAATTTGAAGATGCAGATGGGGTCTTATTAGGTGTGAGATATATAGAGAAGGTTCGTATAGAGCTTTTAGCTTGACAACTTGCTAATAAATAACCTAGGTATTGCTAAAGCTGGCTGAGATACAAGTATGAATTGGAGAGACTTGATGCCACATGAGACTTGCGATACTCAGACGCCCAGATGCCAGAGGGGCGAGATGCCCTGCTCAGGGGGAAAGGCCTAACGAGCAAGGCACTTATGTTGCCCTGACGACAGCCCCGTACGGTACACAAATACTGCACGGAGCCTGGACTCAGGTTCTCTCCTTGAATTATTCTTCTTATATCTAGGGAACCCATTTGCTTGAGCATAGCGCTGCCGACCTATGACATTTCATCATGCAACTGCCATATAGTATCCTAGTATAACCCGACACGCACGCACGTCCTCTCGAGCCATATAAACGGTGTCTTCTGTCGCCGCCATTACACGCTACGCCTCACAGCAGCCGCTGCTTCGCGTTACCTATCTCTCCTCCCCATCAAGGCCAACCGTGTCTTGCAGTGGAGCTGCTTTCTACACCCTTATCCGAGCGGTGTATGAACTTCACTCCCTACTAACCAAAGCGCTATCATTCCATCTTTCCCTCCCATTACATCCATAGAAATCCATATCCTCCGCCACTTCTCCTAACCCAACCTACCTGCCTTCGTTTGACTTCTGAGCGCGTGCTTCCCCTATCCATATGACCAAGATAAGAATCCAGTCGACCCTTCCAGTAGTTTATATCTAGCCCCGCGTATGATTTCGTGAGGTACGTTTCTCTGCTGGGATGCACGTTACCTTAGTTCTCACCTCGTCAATTACAAGTTCAGCTTTAGCCAGCTCAAAAGCGAAGTTTCTCGGTGCTGTCTATGCAATCTCTCCTATCGTCTCTTTCCACCATGAACTTTTTTAGGATGCGTCTCAACCCGGCGCAGCTATCAGCGGCTCGCTGAGACCCAAGACATGAAGTGTCACGTGTAAAACGGTCACGATCAATGTCCATAGGACAGCGTAGGAAGTTGTTTATGTTCAAAAATACATTCTCTTGTTTATTCCCTATAAAGTCGGCCAATATCCTTGTTTCCAAACAGATGTCGTCCCTCCGTTAAGTTCCAGATGCTGAAAATGGTCACAATGACATCAAGTGGGAGTCGATTCATTGCAATTTAGCTTTCTGATAAGCTACCTATCTGGGAATCTTGACTCCGTTTGTTGCAAGTCGGATTTTTCAGATAAGAGATTAGTCTAAGACTATCCAATAAATGGAAGAGCGATTGCTTTCCAAAGAGCCGAACGCACCGGGCAAAGTAGCACTCTTGAAATTGTAGGATAGGTGAGTGACAGATAAGAGGAATGGGAACTGTGAAACAAGGACTTTCAATTTGAATTGGGGCAATTGCTAGAGGCTTCTGAGAACAATATCACTTTACACCCTTTCCATGGCCTAAAACCCACGACCAAGACCAGATTATCGACATCTGCAAATCAACAAAGGGTATAAACAAACTCCAAAAACATCCCAGCATCCCATATTCCATCAAACGCCCCAAATTCCTTCCCTCGCTTCAACCTGGAGGCCTATACCCCTTCTTTTCCACCTTTGGCGGCCTATACATCCCAAACATTTCATCTAGCTCCTCCTCCGTCCACCTCCTCTCCGGCTCACTCCCAACATACTCCCCCTCCAACCCTCTCGCAAAATACTTTTTATACTCGCGTCTCGGCATAAACACCACCTTCAGCTTAAGCACCCCGTCCTTCTCCCCAGACCCATTTTTCTTCTTCCCCTCCCCCCATCAACTTCCCCAGAAAGCTCTTCCTCCTCTTCCTATTCCCGTTCCCATTCCCCACCCCATCATCCTCACCATCTTTCTTCCCATTACCTTCACTCTTCCGTATCACATTAGTAACAATAGCCGGGATGATACTATCATCCGTATACTGCCTCGGCAACAACTGCGGCAACGAAAACATATCACCCCCCATACTCTGCAGCGCGCTATGTTTAAACACCGGCATAGGCCGTCCCGTCGCCGTGAAGTTCTCCAAACCCCCCACCGCTTCTTCATCGATCTGAGCCCTGATCAGCGGCTGGCCATCACTGTCGTTGTCGGAGTCATGGGCGTTGAGACGTGTGGTGGGGAGCGTGGTGTATTGGACTGTATGGTTGTCGGGCCCGCGGTAGGCGAACATTTGAGCCGTGGGTGTGGGTTTGGGGGGGTGTTTGAGATGGAGCATTATGGTGAGTTGTTTTTGTTTGTGTTGAGCTGAGTTGGCGCAGCGTCTTGATTGCTGTGGAATTGCGTGGTGGACTGAAAACGCAGCCCAGATGTGTATGATAGGTCTGTCTGTCGTTCAAGCGGATAATCAAATAATAAATCCCTGCTATAACCCCAAATGCCAAATTTTCGAGGTACACTGTACCGTCCACCACAGTATGTTACCCTTTTCGAACCTTGTATCGAATCCGGTCCCGAGAGCTGCAACGAAACAGTCGTACAGCAAGTATTGATCGCAAGTGCAGGTGGTGACCGCAACGATTCAGTGCTGATGCGAATTCAACTGTAATTTCCAAGCTGGTATACAGACGGAGAGATTTTTCTTTTGTTCCGAAGTGTTGGTGGAGAAGTAAGGCAGTAAGAGGTCGGACGGATATGAGGACGGATGCAGTTTACCCCGCATAGTGTCTACCCCGCTATAGTGCACCACCATTTCCTTTGATTGGCGGGGTTGATGACGTCAGCATAGCATTATGAATTCAATGTCTAATAATGTTTGCATACTCTTCCCTTTGTTAGATGCGAAATCTTGGGAAATGGGCCATATGCACAATGGGAAGTTCTTGAGGTCTTGTCAAAGAAGTGGTTGCGATGGCAGCTTGGTTCAGGGGAAGCGAGTCAGGGGTAATTATGAAGCTGCATCATCGAATCGTTTGGAATTGACCATGTTTTACGACTTGAGTAGAGAGTCTTGTTCGAATCATCCACTATCAACGAATTGCAGCAGCCAGAATCAAACCAAAATCACGAATCCGCTCTATGCATCCTAACTTTCACACCATTCCCCGGTGACATGGTCAAGGTAAGCGCTTTGGGAATCTTACCAGTCATATCCAAAGCCTCAATATTATCATACCTCTGCAACATCTTGACCATCACGAAACTCGCCTCGGTGAGCGCATATTGTTCTTTTCCTCAGTTAGCATCATCCTTGCACGGTTTTTGCCCAGTACTGTGCTTACGACCAATACATATCCTCGGGCCCCCAGAAAACCCAATAAACTCCCATCCCAGTTTCCTGCCTTCCCATCTCGCTGATCTGAACCCATCCGCGTCTTGGCCCCAGATATCCTTTCTTCTGTGCATCACATAGGCGGAATATCCAATTTGCTCGCCTTTCCTAACAGCAATAGGTTGTTTATGATCCGGTCCGCCGCCAGTAGGTAGGGTCGTATCTTTGACAGCTTCCCGTCCGTTTATGGGGACGAGCGGGTATAGACGCATGGTTTCATAGAGTACGTTTTTGAGTTCTTTGCAGGCTTTCAGGGACTCGAATGTCAACTCGTTGGTCGGAGATTTCTCTGTCCCGAACTGAGAGACGATGGCTTCGTGAAGATTCTGGAACTCTGCTGGATGTCGGGCTAGGAGTAGAATTGTCCAGCAGAGTAATGCGGATGTCGTATCTCTGCCAGCCACCATGATATGAAGGACCTGGTCTCGTAGCTCGATAGGATCTCTCGTCTCTGCTACCAGCTCATCCAGAAAAACGTATTTGGGTTTCTGGCCGGGCAAGGTAGGGGGGTGTTTGTGATCTGGATCCAGGGCAATGCGGACAAAGTGATCTGCGAAATCCTTGACTGTCTTGCATGCTTTCATGAATTTTCTAGAAGAAAACATGGACTGCAAGCGCCCGAGGCGAATTCGCCACGTTATGAACTCTTGAGCATAGCTCATAGCTTCGGAGAAATCCAACTCTTTCTGGGAATCCTTCTTGTTGCCTGAATCTTGAGAATGCAAAGCTGTAGATTGGCTGTTGACGGATTCGCCAAAGAGAAACTCGCTGCTAACGTCCATGGTGAACCGATAGATGAGCGGTAAGAGATCGACTCCTTCGACCCATCCCAATGCATTCTCCTCGGAAAGAGCTTTGAACAGAATCCCAAGATGGCGATCAGCAGCCTCCATATCGCTAACTTGATCACGAGAGAATTGGGGTCTAAGCTGACGGCGAAAGTGAGACCAGGCCTCACCCTCTGCAGTGAAGATACCATTGCCAAGCAGATCGTGGAAATTACTCCTTCTGGAGGGCCCCAGATCGAAGTCATGGAATTGCGTACCAAGAAGGGCTTGAATATTCTCGGGCTCTGCTGTATTGATGATGCTGCTATTGAAGGCGGAGAAAAGACGGTATGTGTGCGTACCCATAGAGATAAAGCGTTTCCGTATAATATCTTCAAGGAAGTCCATACCTAGCAGACTATTAGTTATTGTTCACTATACTGAAGTAGGCAGTTCATCCATCAAATTCGCGTTTGATAAAAGCCAATGATTAACAATTAGCAGGATTTTGGGCATACCTTTCAAACCAGTAAACAGAATAGCATATCTCTCTATACCTCCTGGCAATTTATTCTTCACCACAGGAAGTGCTCCGCAACCATACTGCTCGCCCCATTTGTTCAGAGCCCTCCATCTCAACCAGTTTCTCGCTTGAATAAAAGCGATAATAGCACCAGAGACAAAAACGACTTGGATGAGAAAGAAAGCCATGTTAAATTCATTTGGTTTCGAATCATGGTGAACAACCATGACATGACGAGTACTTATATAAGTTCTGGTAAGGTAGTGAGCCCTACGGATAATAAGTTGATATGTCTCTTAGCAGGGAAGCGCAACCGAATGCGAAGTCAGGCCATGAATGGAAGGAATAACCGACCTGAAGACCTCCGTTTGTTTAGAGCCGGGGTGTTTTTCTTCCCGTCTTAGTGCGCCTGCCAGCCAAAGAAGTAGGGAGATTCAAACTCCTACAAAAAAATCAGTGTAAGAGATGGAAAGGGGGATTCGATTGTTCGACTCGTCAATATTGCCTGGATTTAGATACAAAAGGTAGGTGGCCAGAAATAGATGCTTCATTTCATTGCTTAGGGTATATTTTCCAGGACTCCGCCTCCGCCTCAAGTCTCCAGGACTGTTTGTCGCACTTTTTGGGCACTCACAGCATCCCGTGGGACAATCCTAATCATGCCATCCTGAGGCAAAAGACCTTCAAAAACAATTGTGCGGGGCATTGGTATCCAATTAAATATTTCGTTTAATTAGAGTCACTGTCCTCTGAGTCCGGAAATCCGTTGAAAGGCTCTTCCTCGCTGTCCTCAAGGGTTATGATTTCGCCAGATGCTTCCTCTCCATCATTATCATCATCATCATCGTCGTCGTCATCCAATTCTTTCACACCAAATGCGCCACTGATATCCCAGCGATCACCCTTGGCATTCTTGCTAACGTATTTGACAAACTTCAGGACCTGTGCGGAATTAGTATGGCTCGATTGAGGAACATTAAAAGGGTCCGTCGCAGTTTTCAATGTCTCCAGATTCTCGAAAAGCAATTGAAACTCGCGCATATAAAAGATCGGAATGCTTACCCCACTATCCCTGAGAACAATACTCATCTTGTTCCAAGATGCCGGCATTGTGAACAGAAGGTTGTCATCGTCGGGGTCCGACGAGGACTTGTAGATCGCTGCATCTCCATCTGCCTCATCATCATCGCCAGCCATGTAAACTTCCTGGCCTCCCACATCTTCTATTTCCTCTTTTTCTGTAACCTCCGGTTCATTCTTCTTGCCATCGGCCTTTGACTTTCCGTTCGAGTTCGCTTTTGATCCTTCGGCTTCTTCATCACTATCACCTTCTTCCTCTTCTTCGTCCTCTTCAACACCCCATCCAGGAGTTGGAGTCAGCCCCAGACTAATCTCCAACCTTGGCTGGCCTTCGTGGCTCGTTGCAAGAGCGTAGTCGTAACTTTTGCGGAATCTCCGTGCTAAGACATCGTAATTCTCGATCTCGCACTGCGTAGCTATCTCAAGCCATTTCCGGAATTGACGACTTGGCAGGAATACCTCTAGTAATTCCTCAATAGGATTCAGCTCCGCAGATTCATCGGTCTCTCTATCCTTGGGTTGGAGGAATAGAAATCGGTGCTTGTGGGGTGGTTTAGCGACTTTCCATGATCCCTTTTCAATCTCGGCGCTGTCACTTGGCAGGGGGGCGGCTTCTTGAGCTTCGACATATTCACGGACTCTCGCAGAGAATTTGTTTGATAACAGCGAGTCGAGCTCAACACTAGACAAGGCCAAGAAGCGTTCTGTGACCTGTTCCAAAGTATCTGGCGTGAGGTATGTCGGTGCCATGTACTTGAGCAAGAAGGTCAAATCATCTTCGTCGAGATCTTTATCTTCGCTGTCCGCCTTGGGCGCTTCGACGGTAATTGTCTGCGATTGAGGGAAGTCATATCGATCCGGGTTTCCTTGTAATTGCATCAAACTGCTATTGGCGCCCCATTTCTCCTCCGCTCCCTTGATATATCCTTCCTCTCCAATTTGAGGGATGTGGTACCATCCGCTGATAGCCATACGAATCCTCCCACCCTCCTTCTCTAACTGTTCTTTATTCGCAGCGTGATAAACTTCTTCGACATCGTGAAAACTCTCGCCCGGTTGAACCGCGAAAAAGCTCAACTGGTTCCAAGCTGGTGGGATGACCTTCGTGAAATCAGGACTCGGTGTAATCGTTTTCTCTCCCCCATCCTCGAACGTCTTCGTAGGATACAATCGTAAAGCGCCGCCCCATTCTTCCTTCCAAGGCATATCTGGATCCGTCAGATACAGAATGTAGCTGATCCTCCGGCTCCCAATCACATCGTCGTGGCATAGCAAATAGCATCCAGGCGTGTAGACATTGATGGCCATATCTGTCTTCCTCCCGCTCAGTTCCCCTGATCCAGTAATACTAGCAACGTATTTCCTGAACGAGGACGAGTACATGGCGTCTCGTAGCCGGAGAAGAGACGGCAACTTCTCCAGGGCGCCATCGTCAAGTCCGTCAAGATTAGCTAGATCTCCAGATTGGTGGATCTTGTATATATCGGTTTCCTTGGGCGTGAATTCGACATTCTCTTTGATTTCGTTGCGGACTGAACGGAGCAAATCATCGTTGATCAAAGAGTTGATAACGGTATGCTTGTAGGGCTCTGATTCTGCATAACTATTGGTAGATTTCTTCAGTGTCTCCTTATCGAACAGACCCTTTCTGAAACTCTTTTGTACGTCCTCGTCCGAGAGAACTGTAACATATTGTCAGGCAATGTGGGGGCATGGTGGGAAAGCAATTGCATACTGGTCTTCGAGCGCTTCTTGAGGACGCCTTTGCCGTTGTTCCCGCTGGGCTCTGACTCTGCTTTCCTCTTCATTTTGAAATAATTGAGGAACTCTTGCAGGAGAATGAAAAGATTTCAAAGGTGTGGGCAATCGACCCATCTTCTATAAGGTTTTTTGGGCCAGCAGATTCTGCCAATCGTGCTCACCGCCCGGGCTCTGGCATGATTTCTGAAGCGCTCGTTCGATCCTCCCAAAAGGGGTTGCATCGAAAAACCACTCCGAGTGGAACACCCAGATTTGTTTGTTAAGAAGACTTTTATGCCGTGATATGCATGTACGCGCCTTTGATTGTCTCTGGACCATTGCATTTGGGTTGGACCTCGACATGCATGACACCCTCGGGATATCGTGTTACAACACAGCACAGCTGGGCAGCCATCAAAGTTGGGGGTTTCCCAATGGTGCCGGCACATCTTCCATCTTGTCCACTAGACTTGAGGAGACCGTTCCTTTTCAAACGCAATTGGAAGCCAATGTGAATATAAATCTCTCGTTGCTTTGAAATTTCATAAGAGATATTATATCCTCTGACTATATCAATAATTCTACCCAATCTTTCTTTATTAGGACGATTGGGAACCATGACCACTTTTGATATCGTCAGTGCTAGGGAAAGCTTCCCCGCATTAAAGCAATCCCAGGTCTTCTTTGACAATGCTGGAGGAAGTCAAACTCTTGGGACGGTCATCGATTCGTGAATGTCTTTCCTTTCCCTCAAAATATACAATTGCTGAAGCTTCTTCAAGAATTTGCAATTACCTATCCAAGACCAATGTTCAACTTGGGGCTTCCTACGCTGTTGGCCAGAAATCCAATGCTCTATATAGCGCTGGGTTTGAAGCTGCCGCCAAGTACATCAATGCTTCACCAGACAACATTGGTTAGGAAACCTCAATCCTTACATCTTCCAAATTCTGATCCTACAACCAGTCCTGGGTTCTTCCACGACCCAATTATTCCGCAATCTATCCTCCGCCCTCCAATTCCCAGCAGGCTCAGAATTAGTAATCTCGTCCATCGACCACGAAGCCAACATCGCCTCCTGGCTCGACCTTGCCAAACGCCGCAACCTCGTCATAAAATGGTGGACTCCCAAAACGAAAGAGAATCCCAAGCTCCTTGCATCAGATCTCCCAGAGCTGCTGTCCAGCAAGACGGTTCTAGTCACGTGTACGCATGCTTCAAACATCCTAGGCACGATCCACGATATCAAAGCCATCGCGGATGCCGTGCATACGATCCCGGGAGCTCTATTGTGCGTTGATGCTGTGGCTTATGCTCCACATCGGCAGATTGATGTTAAGGCGTTGGGAGTGGACTTTTATGCGTTTTCATGGTACAAAGCACGTTTCCCCCCTTACCTCTCATATGAGACTTGGCTTACGAGAACAGGTGTATGGTCCGCATATCTCCATGCTATATGCATCTGAACACGGGCTTCAAGCTACCGCGTCCCTAGGCCACTTTTTCAACCCCTCTCGCACCTTGGATAATAAGCTTGGTCTCGCGGGTGCTAATTACGAACTCACGTCTTCGATTCCCTCAGTCTTTAACTATTTTGGATCTAGCCCTTCCGAAAAGTGGGCTGCGATTGAGAAGCATGAAGGCGAGCTGCAGGGAACTCTTTTGCAGTACTTGAATACAAGGACCGATGTAACGATTTGTGGAGAGAAGGATGCGGATACCAAGAAGAGGGTCAGCACGATTAGTTTTGTGGTCAAGGAGAAGAAGAGTAAGGATTTTGTGGAGAAGGTGGATGAGTTGAGCAAGGGGGAGATGGGAATTAGGTGGGGTGGGTTTTATAGTAATCGGTTGGTGAATGAGGTTCTGGGATTGGGAAATGATGGCGTGGTGAGAGTTTCGATGGTGCATTATAATACTGGTAAGCGGTCTCTTTTGTCGTCAGCTCACAACTCAGTTATTGATTTCAAAACAGTGGAGGAAGTGAAGAAACTACTTGGGCTATTCGACCAAGTTCTCGGGAAGGCATAGGATATCTGAGATAGTGAAGTAATACAATACCAGATAAAGGTTGCCAAAAGGAATTTGCACGGTCTGGATGCCATAGTTCTTGTAATCAGTATTCGAGGAGTATGGATGGATCTCTAAAATCAATAGCTGCCTCCTAGCAAGTCTTGTTCGCCAATAACCATGCAACAAAGTAGCCGCCAACGCCATCCCATGCCCCTTTTCCAATCCCAAACTATACCCATAACATCTTAAAATTTCATTCGCAAAAGTGACCAACATATCCCACTGCTATCTCTTTCCAGTCTTCTTCTTGATCTCGACTTTATCCCTCATGGGATCATACGGCGCATAAACCCCAACATGCTCCCTCCTCTCGCCCTCACCACCATAAATCAGATTCCCATCAGCTCCAATCCGCTGCGGCGTTCCCTCCACTGGCCGCTCTAACTGATCCTTATGTATTTTATCTAAACTCCCCCCCACAACCGCATACTGACTCCAGTTAATCGGTGGACAGCGCACCACATTCTGCATCCTAGGCAACAACCACTCTTCCCCCTTCTCCACACTCCCATTCCCACCCTCCTCCATTTCAACATCATCCTCACCCTTCTTCCCCAGCTCACTGTCATCATCCCCATCTTCATCCTCACTCTCATAACTAGGTCCAAACACCCCATCCTTAACCCTCACCTCGCCCCTTTCCCTCGCCCCCAAAAACGCCTCTGGATCCCTCATCGCCCTCTCTTTCACATCCCTCAAACGCCGCACATCACTCCCTGCGTTCCGCGCCTGCATCTGCAGAATCGCAATCGCGCTCCTCAGAGCAATCACATCGCTGTTATCCTCGAAATCGAGGGGTATTGGAGGGGGCTGCGGTATGGTGTTTTCATTCTGGTTGGGTTGAGAGGTGTGCGTATAGGCGTAGGTTGGTGAGTGGTGCGTAGGGGTTATGGGGGAGTAA